CACTGTGCGTCTCCCAGCTGGGGCTGCTGGTGCAGAATGAGCACTGTGCGTCTCCCAGCGGGGGCTGCTGGTGCAGAATGAGCACTGTGCGTCTCCCAGCTGGGGGCTGCTGGTGCAGAATGAGCACTGTGCGTCTCCCCAGCTGGGGGCTGCTGGTGCAGAATGAGCACTGTGCGTCTCCCAGCTGGGGGCTGCTGGTGCAGAATGATCACTGTGCGTCTCCCAGCTGGGGGCTGCTGGTGCAGAATGAGCACTGTGCGTCTCCCCAGTGGGGGCTGCTGGTGCAGAATTTGCACTGTGCGTCTCCCAGGTGGGGCTGCTGGTGCAGAATGAGCACTGTGCGTCTCCCAGCTGGGGGCTGCACTTCAGTGGGGGGGATGACGTTGGTTCCCTTCTTCGTCATCTCTTGGGATGGGAGGTGCTATATGCATTGCATCCCGTTATTGTTAAAACAGGGCTGCTAAAAACAGAGAATTGCAATTGCTCTCGCTCGAGCCAACCTGTGAAACGCTGGGCTGCTGCCTCCTCAAACCCCTGTCCTCCCGCCAAGAGGCGTCCACGGCTCCGTCACCTCGCAGCTGTAACGGGCAGCGCCCCCTGCTGTTGTCTTGCAGAGGATCGGCGAGGACTTCATCCGGGACCTGAGCCAGCTGAAGAAGCTGCTGAAGTACGTGGACGACGAGGCCTTCATCCGCGACGTGGCCAAAGTCAAACAGGTAAGCGAGCGTCCAGTTCCTTGAACCCGTCCTTCGTTTTCACCCGCGCTGGTGCCTGACGCTCACGGACGCTGTTCGTTTGCGCGGCGGACGGTTTTGGCCAGAGTGGGTGACGTGGGTATTTCCACTGGCGCAGGCCGGTGCTGTGTCCCAGCACGGATTTGAACCCGCAACCTCCCAGTTACCCAGTTATTTTGCAGTTGCGCAGTACTGTGATTACTGAGCAGCAAGTGGGCAAAAAGTCAGTTTACAGTCAGACATAAGCCCAGTGGAGCTGTCTGTCTGATAGATAGAAGCCTTTGCTTTGTGCTGTTACCCCACTGCAGGTCTGTGAGTGATGCTCTCTCCCCACTCCCTTCTCTCTGCTCTCTCCTCCGCGCAGGAGAACAAGCTGAAGTTCTCGGCCTACCTGGAGAAGGAGTACAAGGTCAAGATCAACCCCAACTCCATGTTCGACCTGCAGGTCAAGAGGATCCACGAGTACAAGAGACAGCTGCTCAACTGTCTGCACATCA